TACTTTTTGATTTTGCATGTGCACGGCTGGGATTCGAACCTCGGACCTTCAGGTTGCTAGCCTGTCGGTGCGACCGCTCGGCCACCATGCCGGCAAACGGCGGATTATTTAATATGTTTTTTATACTCAATGTATCTGAAACGGCATTGGCTCGCCATCTATGTAGAGCCGACAGAAGGAAGTCCACCATCAACGCGGCATTACAGTTTTCTAGGCTTTTAACAGAGAAGATATTGTTTCTTCGTCCAGTACCAACATTGTTATGTACAGATATATGAGACAAATCCAGATCTTCCCTTCAAAAAATATTGCCTTGATTAGCCCATGCCCAGCAGCAGTAAATGTAAATTAATGAAGTTGTAAAAAAAAACTAAGGCATACAGAAAAAGCCCACAGCATTTTCTGTTTTTTTCTTAAGACATCAAAATTCCAGTTTTAGAATGCTTCCTACTACGCCCACATCCGGCATAAAAGCCTTTAATAAAAAATTTAACAATTTCTTTGTAACTTTGCTGTGAGCCTCAAATGCACATGAAATTTTAGGTTATTTTGCTGTCAATGTACTCTCAATTCCTGCAATGAGATCGTTTAAGATTACACACATGATTTAATAACGTTTGAACTTCCTCTGGATTTGATTGCTTTAGCATACGCAGAGCCAACCAATTAGATGCAGCCACGAGTCGCTGTTTAAGACCTGCCCTAGTCGGGATCATTTTTCAGTCGTTCTCTAGCCAGTTCTCTATTTAAAATGCTAAAAATTTGTGTTTTTTTCGCCGGTTTGCTGTTAATCGGTGCTCTGCCTAAGGAAGAGGTTCACAAGGATAGAGTGATCGACAGGGAGTTGAGCGACAAGGAGCATTTTGAGAATGAGCAGCATAATCTCCAGTATGATCATGAGGCGTTTTTGGGTGAGGAGGCGAAGACGTTTGATCAACTGCCTCCAGAAGAGAGCAAACGTCGTTTAGGGTAGGTTTTGAAGAATTACTTGGTTTGCTCGGTTTTACTGGATGTTTGCGGCCTATTTCCAGCATAATTGTTACAAAAATTGATAACAACAGCGATGGATTTATATCGCGAGAGGAGCTTAAAGACTGGATCAGATACACTCAGAAAAGATACATTTCGGACGATGTGAATCGTCAGTGGAAACAGCATAATCTGGAGGACACTACCACTTTGTCTTGGAACACATACCAAAAACTGGTTTATGGATTTTTGGATGAAAATGCTCTCCATGTAAATAATATTCTCAGACTAAGTAGTTCAAAACGTTTTCATTCGATATCTACAAGTGCATTGGGCGTGCAAGCTTGGGCGATGTGTAATTTTTTAAATTTTCCTTTTTTAGTATTCTTTTGCATTCGCACCTATTCTTCAATGGATTTAACAGTTTAATCCCAAATTTCACTTTCTTATTTTGCATATTCAAAGTGCACACAACTCTAATTAAGTAACTTTGTATTTTCTTCCAATTTATAATTAAACAAAACATTCTTTTTCATCTTCAGGTTTTTGATCAAATTTATTCTCTTTAATTCATTATTTAGTCTAGTTTATCTCAAATGTTATCTTTTAGCTCATTTTTTAATTATTTCAAGCAACCGTTTTATGTGTTGTATTGTTTCGCTTCGCCATTTGTTGGTCAATCGCCTTTGAGAATTCTCTTTTATTTTCGTTTTATTTAATTTATTGGCTGTAAGCATTGAGTTACAATGTGTACATGTAAATACAACAATTTCGTAAATTATTTCTTTAAAAAATGCGTTCTTTAGAAGCTGTAAAAAGAGAAAACTTTGCAATAAAATAAATAAATAAAAGATCGGATACATCTATCATAATAATAATAGAAGCTCAATTTTCAACGCAATTCAGAGCACGAGAAAAAATAAAACTGTTTAAGCTTTTACATCGTACTTTCTCTAAGTGATTAGAGCAAAAAAACTATGAAAAAATCAACTTTTAGTTGATTTCCTAGAACACCTTCAATTTCGACATAAACATTGTTACTGGTCTGGTTTCAGTCATTTATTCAGATTATCATAATTTAGTCATTAAATAAAAACGTTTCGGTGTTTTTCCACCATCATCAGTTTGTTCGTGTAGACGGTTGTTGCTACGCAAGTTTAATGACTAAATTATGATAATCTGAATAAATGACTCAAACTCAGGAACATTGTTTATGTCAAAATTAGAAATGCAGTCAGGAAAACTTACATGATCACCTTCAATGTTTTTTACTTTGTTAGAATCCAGTTAGTGATGAAGAAAAAACGTACGTGGGAATGATGAAGCGCGATAGAAGAAGATGGTCGGTTGCTGATCCTGATGGAGACGACGAATTGACCAAAGAAGAATTTTCATTCTTTTTACACCCCGAGGAGCATGATCATATGCGGGACATTGTGGTGCAGGAAACCATGGAAGATATTGATAAGGACGGCGATGGAAAGGTAAAATTTTGGCGATCACTAATCATTCAAACTGATCAAGATTTTGTTTGCAGATTTCCATCGATGAATACATCGGCGACATGTACAGGCCGCAAGAAGGCGACGAAGAACCCGACTGGGTGAAGAACGAAAAGTTCCAATTCACCTCGTATCGCGACAAAAACGGTAATGGGGTGCTGGATGAAAATGAAGTGAAGAATTGGATTTTACCCGATGATTTTGATCATGCTGACGCTGAAGCAAGGCATCTCATTTATGAAGCAGACCAAGATGCTGATGAACAGCTAACCAAAGACGAGGTCCTGAATAGGTACGATCTATTCGTTGGATCGCAAGCGACTGATTTTGGAGAAGCCTTAGCAAGGCATGATGAGTTTTAAGCCAAACGCGGCACGTTCTTTTCTAACGATTTTAGTGCAATGTTAGGTGCAAAATGTTCGGCGCGGAGACTTCTGGTCTAAACGATAAGGTTTGAATTTTTGTCAATGAGACGGCATTTAGTTTCATACGGCAGGCATTAGTGTTTCTGCTAAAATCTCGAATCTTAATGAGAATCTCTTATAACGAATAAAAATACTAATATGATTTCCGCAACGCTTTAGTACTGTATGTAAAGTTAGAGGGTTTTAGTTATTGGGCGAAAGTAACAATTTTAATTGTTTTTATTACGATTCTCTGCTTAATGTGCCAATATGTATAGGGACTAATCTAATGAGGTTGGTCAAGGAGGATTTTAATTAAAAAAAAATTTCCTACTAATTGGACTCTAATTGGGAAATTGAACCTATCAGCATGAAGACCACAGCAACTTTAAATAAAACATTTATTTATAATAAATAATTCGATTATTTACAACAGCATTGAAACGTACGATTACCCTTGAGTAGGTACAGAGCTTGAATCTAAACATTATATTATACATCAGGCGTTATTTACATTACCAGACGAGTACAGGGTGCCCCAACTTGCGAATAGCTTTTTAAATGTATACAGAGTATGAGGATATTTTACATCCTTGAAGGAGAAGCGAAACTGTACTAAATCCTTGTGGAAATACATTGATTTTACCGCTTAGTTATTAACAAAACAAAAAACTATTTGACTAGTAGTTATTTTAAGTCACAAAACATTTCTGAGTTTTTCAAAATTTTCTGAGACAAGATTGGTACACCCTAGAGATTCAAGTTGATGCCAACAGCTCAGAAGCAAGCAAATCGATTATTTTTAAACGTCCTTGTGGTTGATTGATAATATCTACTTAACTTCTGCAAGAAAAAAAACAGCAAAATTGATTTCTCTGAAAAAAGCATTTTTCACCAGTACAACCCCAATTCTTTATTAAATATTTCCAGGAAACATCCCCAGTAATCCTCTATTTCCAATAACGCAACATTCCAGAGGATCCTTAATTTAACATTTCACATAAAATCAGAAAACACGTCGTCAACCTGATAAACACTTGTTGGCGATTGTAAACTGTTAAACATCCCCAACTTAAACCCATTAGCAGTCTTCCGTTTAAGGTGAAAAGTACATTGATGACAATGTTCGAAACGATTGTCCATTTAAGCCTCGATTGCACTACCCTTATAGTACATGTCACTTTGAGCACCATGTGGAACGTGAGCTTGAGAGCTCAGTGCTGAGTCGCCTCGAAGATTTCTGAGTCCGGACTGCCGTAACCGCTGCTTCCATCGTCTCTGACACATCCACTAATGGGCGGCCGCAGTCGCTCTTCCATACTCTTCTCGCTGTAACAGGAGGGAACGCTTAGCTGAGTGAGGCAATGAGGTGGCGGGCGGCCTTTGGTCGGAGGCCTCAAGATCATGGGGGAATCTGCCGGGGGCTGCAACATTTATCTAATTTATTGGGACACCAGGTGCACACCCTTGGTTTATACGTATGGAAATCAAATGGAAACTAGATCCATCTAGGTGAGTTTGGGATTAGTTTGGCACCAAAACCTAACAGCAAAAAAATGGTAAAATTTGTGATTCATGCGGTCATTTTAATAGCTCCCGAGTTGTTTTGTGATGTGCGTGTTTTTCATTATCGCTAGTGAAATCTTTGAATGTTTCTATAGTTTTACATGGTAATTCCATTACCAAAGTGCACTTCTAAAATTAATTTGTCGCTTTACAGCTTTCTAATAAACGCATTTGGAATCAATCGTGATTTTGGGTATTTGTTTCAAAAATACTGTAAAAATTTATTTGAAGTTTGTTCATTTGCGATTATTCATCAGTATACCATTCAAGGAAAATTCGACAATTGCTTTCTGGCTCAATTTCGATAGGCCTGAAATCTGGCAGTTTTTCTGGCCATTGTAGAAAGACTAAGAATAAATGTTCTCCCAATAAAACAAGGATTATTATTCCTGAAGCTTATTGTTTAGAGGAAGCAAAAACTTAATTTCAACGTGGTGTTTTAGTTTTACATTATTTTACATTCTTCCTTGTTTAATTAGTTTTTTCTTCTCTGATTCGTAAGTTTTTTTGTAGTTCACTTAAATTGTTGCTTACATTTTGATTCACTGCAACTGGCCTTGCAATATTTTGTTCAACAATCCATTTTAATGCAATTATTGATGTTTTATGATTAAATTTTCTTGTATTCAGTTTTGACATATTATATTCCCGCTACTTTCGCGTTAATCATATTGTTGAAAAACCAATATAGAGTGATTAATTAGGAAGAAAGTGAGCTAACCATACCTGTAAATTACTGACTTGCCTTCTTATGTGAGCTAAACTACTAGGATTGTAAGCCATGTTCGCAAACACCAGCCGCTCTTCGTAATCGTACTCACAAAGGATTTTATTTTCGCACAAGTAGAAGCGATCACCTACGCAGAACCTGCAAGAAAGGCACTTTTTAAGCATCGTGTGGCAGTCAGCAGTAAAACGATTTTCTGGCATGCATCGTGCATAATTTGTTCAAAAGACGCTAATTGCGCAAAATGTAAGTAAAGTTAAAAGGAGTCAATACAATTTCGGATTTTTTATTTAAAAAATTGCGGATGTATTTTTATGCGCTATTTTAGCCGTATGGTTTATCTCAAATTACTCACCTATGATTACACTGTTGGCATGCGAAACACTCCAAATGATAGACGTTGTTTTTCGCTCTCATAACCATTTCAAAAGCAGGAATCACTTTATTACAGGCTGCACAGTATCCTGTCGTACCAAACAACCTTTAATAAAAATTATTTCGATTTTAGACTATAAGAAAAGTTTCAAAAAATCGGCGGATAAATTCTATAATACTAATTTGCTATAATATTAACATTTTAAACCACGCTGAATGCAAGTATCTTCTGTTTACCAATTTAACTTCACCGAGAAGAAAAAAAGACAAAAAAGCGGAAAATATTGACTCTTCCCTTTCTCCACTGACTAGAGAATGTGATGATTAATGCGGATGAATGTAGTAAATGTTGTGCAACCCAAAACCAATTGCAGACATCTAAGAAAATAATGACGAACGTTTTAGAGCCTGGATGAATCTTTGTAAACACGCGTTGAAAACTCTCCTCAACTTTCTGCTAACAGCCAAATGCAAAGTACATCGAAATATAAGTGTTTTTTCAGTCACATTGATGAACGTTGCAAACAACAACTTGTCTGAATCGTTCTGAACAATCGAAGAATCAAGTTTGCTGTTAAATGTAACCGATATTTAGATTAATGCCGAGTTTGTTTCAAATAGCTTATTGCCCCAGTTACGCGACGCTAGAAAATAGCTAGAAAGTTCGGAACGATATAAAATTGCTCTGCAGATTCTCCTAAGCAGTTTGGAACCAAAAAACTTAAATTAAGCGAAAGATTGAATCTACAATTTAAGGCGAGAATTGCAAAAAAAACAGTGGAAACCTCCACGAACCTAGACAAACATTTTAGCAAATGAAAATTAGGTGAACTGGAAAATATCGGCAACATTTTAAATCAGCAGAGTTCAGCATACTTTTAAGACGCTTTACAACATTCGGATTGCATACAAATTCAAATTGCATTTGAATATTTTTATTTTAACAAAAAACATTAACGAGAATGACAAGGAAGCGCTGCAAACCTTCCTACTGCGAACGATTGCTGAAACAAATTCAGTATGAAAATTAAACGATCTTTGGTTTCTTATGGAGTATGTTTTGAAGAATGTTTTGTCAACAGATCAAAATACATATGCTCTAAAAGATTGTGAATACATGAAATATCAAATTAAAACTAGTCGTCATTGTTTAACTCAAAAGCAATCGCGAGCATTGCAAGGGAACAACGCAAACGTTGGCGAATGCAGACAAACACAAATAAATAAAAAAAGTTACTTCACCTGGAAAAAATCCCCAACCACTTATTCAAAACAGTTAAGGACACTTCTTCACACACAACATTCTGGTTGCATACGAAGGCAAATTGGTCCGAACAAATACTACTTTAATCAAGTCTTCAAGAGCGTTTGTAATGCGAATAACAAGAAATCATTACGAACCTTCCTGAAGATTCGTGCGAACAATCTCTTTTCTGGAAAGTACGTAATATTTGGTTCATCGCAAAATATATTTGTTATCAAAATTTTGCAAAGCTGGAAAATATCCAAAAGAAACTGAATCAGTATAAAAAGGTCCACTTTTTCGATTGTCTTCGGTCCCTAAAAACTAATACGAATAAAAAAATGTAAGACACTTTTTTCTCAGAAAACAAAAAACTCCTAGATACCACAAAAAAAGAGAAATCTTCAGATTTCTTCCTTCAAAAGCCTGGTTTTTATGAACATTATAACTCATCAATAGGGACGATATTTCCGAACAAACACTGAACAATTGACTTTTAAAAGACTATAGAGTTGGTTTCCCTTACCGTAAATAGTCTCGTTTACACAGCAAAAGATTGGCTTTCGTATACAATGTGGAGCCAACTTCGCCTAGTCGACAGTCGCAACATCCACACTTGAGACAGTCCTCATGCCAAAAGAGGTCGATTGCTTTGAGGAGGAAACGTTCGGTGATGCGTTTTCCACATGAGGCACACTCTTTGCTACCGATCAACGTTACACCGACGGTGCTGCTTGCAGTAGATACTGGTACTGTTCGGCAGGTGATTGCAGCCGGATTGTCCAGTCCACTTTCTAAAACAAATTTCAATTTTCACTTGAAAATCCTGCAGACTGAGCCCGAGTCCCAGCAGTGGAAACCAATTTAAAGCCATTAATAGTAAAAAGCCGGAGCATTTTTATGAATTCAGGAAGTGCATTACCGTTTCGATAAAACATGCACTCCGATCTAGAGTGGTTTGAGTTTTCATTTACATAATGGAACAACAACAAATGCATTTTGTATTAACTCGGGAGATTTAATGGCCTGGAGCCGTTCGGCAAGGACGACATAGAGGGTAGGAGGTGCCATGGAGGTGCGCACTCATTACATAGTCGTGACATCTGCAGCCAATTTCGGCTAAGTGGTTTTTACGCTCTACCCATCTTTGTATCAGACTGAAACCCGTTTTAATATAATCACTGTTTTGATGGCCAAATGGACTTTGAAACGATTGCCTACCACATTTTACTCACCACAATATTACGCCTGCAAATGTGTGGAGATAAAGCGAAAGTTGTTTTCTGCTCATTATTGAAACGGTCCACTAGACATTTACAGCGTGCTTGAAAATAGGGGTCTTTGCTTTCATGAAAAAAAAATGGTGTGCGTCACGGGACTCTCGACAGAAGTGATAAATTCATATATTTACAGAAACCATTTAGTGCAACATTTAACATTCTTTAACGAGATATTGTACATATTTGCTCTTCTTGGGTTTGTGTAAACTCTTCTTCTTGAGTTTCTGTATTTTTTAATCGTAATTTTTTATTTGCTTTTTATAATCTTTGACGTTCAGCACTAGTTCGTGGTTGATGAAAGCTACTTTGAGTTGATCTATTACTTAATGCTCCTTTTTTAGCACGAAATCGTTTTTGGCGGTCAGCATTACTTAATACTTTTCGCATTGTACCATGTTTTTGCGATTGCTCTTGTGTATGTTGTTCATGAACGTCTGCTACAACTTGTATCTGAATAGGACTAAAAAACCAATTAATTTTGGTTGGTGATTGGAAGACGTTCTATCTGTTTAAAATAGACGGTAAAACGAGGAAGAGCTATAGAGACAGGATACAGTTGACATACTATATGTATACATAATGTTAGGCCATCGCACGTATGTTAAAAAAAAATTTTTAGCTGAACTAATCCAAGGCTAAAAAATTTAACTAAATTGAGAAGATTTAAGAATCAAAGGGTATATGAAGGGAAAAAATCCATTTTGATCCGTGGTAAACACAATTAATCATATAAATAATATAGAGAATTGAAAATAAGCCCTAATAAATTCGTTTGACATATTTTCTAACTATAAGCTGAAGAGAGATTCGTATCGTCTTAACATCAAGAATGCGTTGC